TAGAAACCTCCTAATGAGATTAGGATAAAGCTAATCTAATCTACAGATAAGATAAGGGTTTATCCCTATCACCTAAAAGGGGTCTTATCCAAATATGATTTGGATAAGYAGYYCCTAATTGGATTAGGAGCTGATCTTTTAGGTTAACAAAAGGAGGGGGCGGTAGCCTTAAGGAGACACACAATTAGATTTTCTTTAGTGCTGAAATCACAAGAAGAGAGAATTCTGCACCCTGCAAATTCTTTATTGCCGCCTCCCTGTTCTTGCCGCCCTGTTTTGCCAGTTCGATCTCCACTAGTGGGAGAAGTCAAGATTTGATCTTGACATCAGTTCTTGGAGGAAGAATTGATAGGAAGTTGTGCTCACGTGTCATCCTGCTGTTTCTTGCAAATGACAGAGTTCTTGGAGAAGAACATTGCTGATTCTGCTCCATCTTGCACTACGCCATTTTCAGTGGGAGCAGATTTTGGATCCTTCCTTGGGCGTGAACACCTCCATTGGGAGATACTGTTTCTCCGTATAAGGTATAATCCTCTCATACTCTTTTTGGTTCAGATCTGGTTCAGTTTATGGTTCAAGAATGATCACTGAAAATATAATTTTCTAAATATGGAATGCGATTCCTAGTTGAAGGGAGAGAAATTTTTGAAATTCGCCCCCCTTATTCCGCAATCTTTGGGCGTCCATGGGATGGATCTCTCATCCCTTCAGACCCGAACACCACTCCCCCAGTTCTGAAGTCGAGGACTGAGGTGCTCGACCGAGGCATTGCGTGGTCGTGGGAGGAGTGCTCGGCCGAGGCATTGCGCGGTGTTGTTCGTAGCCAGATAACCAAGTAGGCAAATGTTGTTCGTAGCCTGAAGGCGGAGAGGGAGCGACTGAAGTAGGAGGGCCACCGAAGCGGCGATGGCTCAGTTCAAGGGCTCGGTTGAGTACCGACAAGAGATGGATGAGTATGCCTCGAGCTCTTATGAAGCAGGGCTCAACGTCTTCCGGTGGAAGGCGCTGCGTCACTGTCCATAGTTGGCTGACATTGTGCAGGCTTGGGGTGCGTATGACGACGAGACCCCACCCACCGAGGATAACCTTGTTGCTGATGAGGATGATGGGGGCGAGTATGGTGAGGAAGGAGAAGAGGTTGCTGATCCTCCCACCGAAGATTGAGTTGTCGCGGGTTTCTTTTGTTTCTCTTGTTCTTTTTGTAATGGCTCGATATGCCGAGCTTTGAATCATGTACTAACGATGTTAACTTAATGAAAATGTACTCTTTTTGTTCTGAACTTGCGTACCACTTATCTCTCTCCTTTTGTTTTTTGCTATTTGGGTTCCTCGGTCTTGTCGTGGCCGAGGTCTGGGGTTGGCCGAGATCTTCAGTCTCCGATTAGTGGGGCTAGAGTATGTTTCGAGCTCTCATCTTCGGGACGCTCAGTTACTGGTCTCAGGAGCTTTTTGGCTCTTTGAGGGCTAGCCGTTGCTCAGCTAGCTCTGGTCTAATTGTTAGTCAGTGGATTGTGGAGTTCAATGACCGCCCTCAGGCCCTAATGGGCGGGGGCATTCTTCTCCGCTTTAGGCTCGGACCATGGACAACCAAGGCAGTTTACTTGGTCGGTGATACGCTGCCGAGCTACGCGTCATGGGCTCAAGCCGTTCAAAGATCAATCGAGTCATTGTTGTGTGCTGAGCTATGTGTGTATTGCACGGCTTGTGTTGCACGGCGTGTGTTACACAGCAGGTGTTGTGCGACGTGTGTTGTGCTTCGACGCGTTTTGGGGTCCTCAGGGCGAGGGTCGTCCTTCGTACGCATCGGGGCGTGAGGGGGGACAGCCTGGTTGGGCAATGCTGCGGAACCCATCGTTTGCATCATCTTAACGATCTTGTCGACCTTTTCTTGCATTACTTGGAATTGCACAGGGTTAACCGCGGCTGGGGGTTGCGGGATTTCTTGGTGTGGAGGGCTACGACGGTGAGATTCTCGAGATGGGGATCGGCCTGTCGATCGCTCGGACTAGTTCTTGGGCATCTTGATCACTTTCTTGGTTGTGCGGTAAGGAAGAGATTTTAGGAAAGGCTTTTACTGCGTTTCCCACTGACGACACCAAACTGATACTGCTCAATCCGAGGTGGTGCACGAACTGACGGAGCCGAGGTGGTAGGGCGGAGCCGCGCTTCAAGACCTGTGATCAAGAAAGGATGTCAGAGGCCCAAGGAGTTATCCCTGGGTAGATACTTCGACGCTCAAGTCAATAGAAGGTGGTGGATGGTCGGGCCGAGCAAGAAGGGTGCTGGTCTGAGCAGAGTAACAATATGGATGCTAGAAATTGGAATCCCTTACCTTGAGAAGGAGATACCTCTTTATAGCCGAAGGTCTATGTCCTGGTCAGATTGGGTTTCTGGGGTTGCCGAGATGAGGTTAACTGCCGAGGTCTTTAGGATAGAGTTCTATTCCCTAGTGGAGTTGTCCTCTTCCCTCATCTTATCCGTAGTTGTGCTTATCCGCGTGACGTGTAGTTGATGTGGCTGAGAGGATAAGATGGGGGGCTATAGTAATAGCGTAGCGTGGCAACAGCCGCAGAGTCAATGTATGCCGCGGAGCTAGCCGGGCCATGCTGACATGGCCGGGGATGACCAGGCAATGATTGGGCGGCCACGTGTCGTCTAAGGCCAGATCAACCATGACCCGAACAGGTACATTAACTAGGTAGTCCTAGTGGAGATGCGGATTTAAGTCCTGTTAGCAACGTTTAAAGACACACAAAAAAAGTAAAACTCATATTACCCTTATGTTATTTGTGAGACCAATTTGTCTTTTTAAACTTTAGTTTTTATGAAATCTTAGGTGTAAATGTTTCTCAATTTTCTTTTAACAAAATTCATCTTAAAAACATGTTGAGAGTCATTATTTGTATGTATTTGGAACCGTAGATGTTTATTTACTAAATATTTATATTTGATTTATTTGTAAAATCAAGAAAAATAATAATGAACCCATTTATTGATAGTTAAGTGTCATTAAACATTACATCAGCAAAACATTTTATAAACGCCGACCTATTTGAGAGAATGTTAAAATGAAACTTTCCCTAACGATAGAAGCACATAAATCAATGCTTATTTTTACAATTCTCTATTTATACAAATCCGCATAATTATCACCCCTAAACATAGGGTGGCTACTTGTAATTTATCCGAGATGATTCAAACCGAGGTCAGCTACCGAAGAAGAAAAAGAGTAAAAAACCATCTCGGACCAATGTCTCTGGTAAAAAATACTCTCAGGGTTGACGGTCCACTTCTACAGTTCTACGGTTCTACCAAGAAAAGAAAAAGTTTAGCAGTTTACGGTCCACCGACCGACCAATGATATCGAGTCAGTTGATTCAGTCCAATCGGTCGTTAGGTGTCTTATTCGATTCGTCGTCGACTGCATGTGCGAATGCGAGTTCGAGGGCAGTTTGGTAAAATTGTGCTATCTTCAAACCAACTCAAACTGAGGGGCATTTCGGTCAAAACAAGTAAACAGAACAGAACAGTCCCAATCATGGTCTGAATACCGAAGCTGTGAAGAGTTTTCCTCGAGTGGCGGCCTTCTTTCTCTCTCCTCCTCCTTTTCTTACTTGGCGCGTCTAAAAAGCAGAGAGGGAAATAAAAAAACATTAAAAAACTCTGTCTTCAGGGGATCCCCCCTTCTCTCTCTCACACACAGTAAACCAAGGAAAATTCTAGGATTTCTCTGCAATTCTTCCAAATATACTCTCTGAATCGAGTCTTGCTTTTAGAGGCGGAGCTCATAATCCGCCCCACGATTGCTCTTGTTTTTTGGCTTTCGCAACCGCGCCGGTGTTGGATGAATTTGGGTTTCTCCAGCACATCGTTGTCGGTCTCCGATCTCGTTCTGTCGCTAGGATTTGACAAGAAAAATTTGCTGCTCGTTGGTTGATGGCGAAGCGAGGTTATAAGCTGCGTATCCGTTCATTTGATTTAGCTAAGTGTTTGGTTTTGAATGAGTTCTGCATTTAGATGCATTTGTCTAAACTTAGGGTTTGTGTTACTTAGCTAAGATTTTAGCTCGAAGAGAGTGTTACTTGGTTTAGCGGGGTGGCTTTCATTTTTTATTTATTTTTATATCTCTTGCTTAGTTTTTGTTCTGTTGAATGTTGCCCCACGAATTGGTGAGGAGGAATGTTTTAGACTTTGTATAATCCGATTCATTAAGTTCTTCTGTTCGGTGGATTCATTTTGCTCCATTGGATTGTTTATTTTGCTTGACCAATTTACTTTAGAAGAATTCGTTGCCCATGCATCGAGTGTGAACTGTTTAAGTATCGGAAAGAAATCGTGTAGACTTCTTGTGACCGGAGGAGAAGATCATAGGGTCAATTTGTGGGCGATTGGGAAACCGAACTCATTACTGGTCAGTTCAAATTCCGAAATTCTCTTCGGCTACACATTCGTGCTTTTCTGAATTTGTCATAATTTTTGAACTCATGGCTTCTAATAGGTACTTCTGTTTCTACATCTTGTGGTAAATATAAACTAATAACTCAAACCGAATTGAAATATACACGGTTTAGTTAACCAAAGGATAATTCTTTGATGGACTTAAACGGGCCACTTATTTTCTTTTTAATTGCATGCTAATGTTAATCCTATAACTTCTCATTGTCTGCACCTTTATCTAATTTGGCAAGGAGATCTGACGTTTAGGTACATAATTACCTGCTGTGACAGGATATCACCCTTCTTTTTTTTGTGTGTAAATATGCAGAGCCTGTCTGGTCACACAAGTCCAGTTGAATGTGTAGCTTTTGATTCAGCAGAGGTTTTGGTGGTTGCTGGAGCTTCTACTGGTGCAATAAAGCTGTGGGATTTGGAAGAAGCAAAGAGTAAGTCTATTCTTTTCACCCCATTGATTGTTTAAGTTGGAAAACACTTGCTAAACAGTTGGTGGCACAGCTTGCTAGGTAGTTTAAGTACCAAGATATGGCACCTGAAAATTGGAACTCATGGCACATGCACTGTAATAGAACGCATGAGTTAATGACTCAAGGAAGCATATAATTGAAATAATCCTGTTGTTTGGTCTCAGTTGGGCTTGGGAATCTAATCGCTTGCATCCCAAGTCTGACTCATTAATTTTGTTGATTAAGACCTTCACATAGCAATTCCTTTACTTTTTAAACTAAGGCTTGTATTCGGAGAATTTTTGGCATTTTCTAATTTGTTTTATGATTCTTGTTGAAGTGTAGTTGTTCGCACCCTTACTGGACACAGAATTAATTGCACTGCTGTTGAATTCCATCCATTTGGTGAGTTCTTTGCATCTGGTTCTCTGGATGCTAATCTAAAGATCTGGGACATCAGAAAGAAGGGATGCATTCACACATACAAGGGCCATACTCGGGGAATTAGTACCATTAGATTCACTCCTGATGGACGCTGGGTTGTTTCTGGTGGACTTGATAATGTTGTGAAGGTAACCATAAAGCCATTGATATACTCCATCCCCTCCCCCCAAATAAATAAATAAATAAATGAATGAATAAAACTGTAAATAACAGCTTCTAAAACTATCTGAACAGGTATGGGATCTAACAGCTGGAAAGCTTCTACATGATTTTACATTCCATGAAGGACGAATTACCTGCATAGATTTTCATCCCCTTGAGTTCCTGCTAGCCACAGGTGAGTATGACTTTTAGGTTATCTCTGTGACATATGCATATGTGTATATTATGTATGTATAGTGTATATTATGTTTTCTTGTTCCGTTTGAGATGCCAAGACTTGATACATATCCATAGTTTAATGATCACCTTATTTATCATATCGAATGCATTTCCATTTATAAAAGTTTATGCACATTTGTCGACTTGGTTTTCAAGAAGTGAACCGGCAATTAGGCTTCTTATAAACTTAGGAATCTCCTTCTGTATGGAGATGGTTGTCTGTTTACAGAAAGATCTATGCACCTACAAATAGACTGTAGATGGATAAAACAGGACCTCTTATAATTATAAAGAAGGAAAGTAACAAGCAAATCAAACTCAATAAAGCACGCGACTTCTGGACCCTCCAGACCTCACCCCTAATGATTAATATGACTGAATTCCACTCTCAAGATAGCTGAGTCACTCCCGTGACTCCCCCCTACCACCTGCCATCTCTCCTTCATTCTTCTTGAATTCTCTCTTTTAAGTTTCCTGTTGTCCTTTCTCTATTCCTAATATGAACATCTCTCAGGTCAGGATGTTAAAAACCTGCTTTGTTGTTTCACATGTTCCCCCTTGCTACCTTGGCCCTTGTCCAAGTCAGGTGTGCATTTGTGACAAGCTCCTCTTACAGTTTTTCAAGTTGTTTCTTCAGCAAATCCATCCCCATCTGTAAATAATAAATTCAATGGTCTTGTCACCAAGACTCACATTGCACAACTTGGTCCAAAGCCACAGGAACTGTTCTTTCTTTAGCGAGACCTCATCCAACATCACCTACTCCATATCTGGGTTACTCTTCCCACTTCTACAGCTGAACCATCTCAAGTATCCTCCCGTCCCCTCCCCTCCCCAACTAAACCCAACACCTCTTCAATAACTTCCATAATAAAATGTGCTTATAGGTTGTAGGATTATCCCCTCCCTTAGAAGCGGTATCAGATGCATTAAATGTAGGCTACGAGAGATTTCACCTGCCCCTGACCAAACCAACCATGGTTTATCTTCTGCAGAAGAAGATGAACAAGAAACTGCAACCACAACAGCTGGGTGGATGTGTGCTGAATTTGGATAAACTCTCCCAAGATGCTTGTCCATTTATGTATAAGATCAAGTTTCCTATGTCATTCCCAGGTGCTCCATCATTCTCGAAAATTGCAGTTTCAGTTCATAGTTTTCAAGGTGCCAAAAGGCAAGGCAGGCAACAGGGGGGCATCTTGTTGCCTAGGCACCCTAGGTGTCACCCAGATGATGGATTTTTTTTTTGAATGAAAACTATGAATCCTAGGGTAATTTCCCTAGGTTCCATAGCACCCAGCAAATATCTTTCACTAGTAATTATATATAATCTTCATAGAAAAGTATAAACTTCATATTAAAATATAGAAAATCAATATATTCATGAGAAGGATAGAATGAAAGAAAAGAAAATTCAAAAAATATAGCAATCATCTGAAATACAAAAGAAGAATGTATTGATTGGACAAAAATATGTTCTTACTTGCTTAGTTGCTTTATCGGCTTAGGTTTTGAAGTCTTCAAGGGTTCAAGACAGCATACACCAACATGTGTGTTGACTGAACCGTAACAAATAAGAAAATAACACCCAACTAACTCTGTTTTCTACAGAGTGGCCAAGGACCCTCTCCCTCATCAGTAATACAATTTCTTTCTCACTTTCCAAAAAAAAATATAAACCTTCAAAATTAATAACTTAATTTAGTTATGTCTATTTGGTATTATAATCTCAAAAAATAAAGAATATAATGACATTTCATATACAAATAGCTTGGCACTTAAGTAAGGCAACCCTTCATGGGTGCCTTGTTGTCTAAGTTTCAGCTTAACTGTTTCTTAAGTCCATGTGGCCCATGGGCCTTTAATTTGTTTTTTTTTTTTTTGAAATAAGAGTTAATTGATTGTATTGATAAAAGGAAAAGTACATGAGGAGATGTACAGACTACAACAAAACTAGCAAAAAGAAATTACAGAGGCAGATGATTTTCCCTAAAGGTACCTGATTTAGCTAAACCATCAGCTGTAGTATTCAGTTCTCTGGGAATCCAGATTAGATTTACAGTCAAGGTGTTCAATATGTCTCTGGCCTCAGATGGGTAATGGGCTAGTCTCCAAGGGCCCCCCCTCCCCTAACCATCTTATTGTGTTTGCAAAGTCTCCTTTTAAAGGGGATGTTTGGTATGGCTTCTGTTTATTAAATAAACATTTGTACTTGATTTGTCTTCAAAACCGAGAAAAATTGGTTGATAAACATTTTTCTAGTGTTTGTTGACAGCTAGGTGCCACATAAGCGGAACAGTAAATAAACACCTTTGTATTAGGGGAAATGTTAAAATGAAGCTTCCCTCAACGGTTGGATTGCACGTAAAGCGATGCAAATGTTTATCAGATAAACAGGCCCACCAAATAACAATTTGGGACAAATGCCTACATGGCGATGAGCTGGCACCGTTTATCTAATAAATGGAAGCCATACCAAACACCATCAAAGTTAGAACAGACCAGCCTTTTTCTTTAGCAATTCGAAGACCTGTGAGTGCAGCCAAGATTTCTGCTTTTGGTGAATCAGCAACCCCGATTGGGCCACTAAATGCCCACTTAATGCTTTCGTTCCTTCCTCTAAAAACTCTGCCAATCCCAGCAACTCCAGGGTTTCCCAAATCACTTCCATCAAAATTTAGAATCAGTTCTGATACCAAACTTACAGGAACAGCAATTGATACCAAACTTACAGAATCAGTTCTGCAGATTCCATAGATTGCCCAAGAAAATAATGTGGAAGAGTAAATCTTCAAAAGATCTGGTTGTGTTTTCAAATCTGCAGAGTCCATAGATTGTGCACCAATAAAATTTCCCCCTGCTGGGTCTCACAGAAAAATCGTCAAAACCCTTCCCAAGGTGAAATGGGGCCTACCAATTGCATGTGGACTATGTCGATGGCTATAAGCAGATCAGACACTGTCAATCAGGTCCACTCGACGAATGGTGGGTCAACTTCGCGTTGTCACAGCCGGCTGGCGGTGGTGCCCAGGGTGGAGCGTCCAAAACTTGGCAACTTTGAACCGGATTCATAGATGATGACACCTCACATGATCTTCTGCAATGCCCTCTCTCCCCTCCCCAAATCGCATTCTCTCAATCAGTCGGACCCGAAAGAAGAAATCCAACCGTCCCTGTGTCGTCCAATGCCTCATTGATCTCTGCTCGCAAGGGAAGCTCAAAGAAGCAGTTGGGTCCTTAGAGCTCCTATCCCGCCTCGGTCTCTGCTTAGACCATAGGACGATTACTTTTCTCTTCCAACAGTGTGCGAGCTCTAGATCTCTCAGAGAAGGAAAATGGATTCACCTCCATTTAAAGTTGACCAGCCTCAAGAACCCGAAAATGTTCTTGTTGAATCATTTAATTAATATGTACTTTAAATCCGGCAACGACCTCGATGCCCACCGGGTTTTCGACAAAATGCGGGTAAGAAATTTGTACTCTTGGAACAATATGCTCGCTGGCTGCGAAGCTCGGAATGCTTAAGCCAGCAAGGAGATTATTTGACAGAATGCCTGAAAGGGATGTTGTGTCTTGGAACACCATGATAATTTAATTGGCCCAACATGGATTTTGCGGTGAAGCTTTGAGGTTTTATGCTCAGTTACGTCGTTCTTCACTTGGGTTCAATCACTTTAGCTTAGCTGGTGTTTTGACTGCATGTGTGAAGTTGGAGAATTTGTCTCTTACTAGGCAGGTACATGGCCAGGTTTTAGTTGTTGGGTTCCTTTCAAATGTGGTTCTCTCGAGCTGTATTGTTGATGCTTATGCCAGATGTGGGGTGATTGGTGATGCTAGAAAATTATTCAATGACATGCCTACAAGGGATGTGCTTGCTTGGACAACWTTGGTTTCAGGGTATGCCAAATTGGGGGATCTTGAATCAGCTACAAAATTGTTTGATGAGATGCCAGAGAAAAATCCTGTGTCATGGACAGCTTTGCTTTTTGGCTATGCTTGGAGTGGTATGTGACATGTGCACTTGAGCTCTTCAGGAAAACGATGACTATGTGCATTAGACCGGATCAGTTCACTTTCAGTAGTTGTCTTTGTGCTAGCGCAAGTATTTCTTCACTCGGGCATGGGAAACAAATCCATGCCTTTATGGTAAGGACTGGTTTCAAGCCTAATACGATAGTTGTCAGTTCACTCATTGATATGTATTCAAAATTTGGAAGTTTGGAGCTTAGTTTACGGGTTTTTGATCTCATGGGTAATAAGCAAGACACTGTGCTATGGAACACAATGATCTCGGCCTTGGCACAACATGGCTGTGGAGAAGAGGCTATACAAGTTCTTGACAGTATGGTCAGCCAGAAATAAGAGGAAGAGAAGAGAAGAGAAGAGGAGAAGAAGAGAAGAGAAGAGAGGAGGGAAGAAAGAAGGGTTTTGCAATGTAACAGTGCTGGCGGCGCCAGCCTTTATTTTAATATATATATATAGGGCGGCAGAAATAACAAGGGAAAAGACCCTTGTGCCCCTGAGTACAATAACAGACATAACAGAAAGAAAAAACGAAATAAAAAACACTTTAATTAGCCAAACAGGACCTAACATAAGCAACTAAATTATTTTAACATTATTTTAACACAAGTGTTGCACAACATGGTGCAAGCAGGGACAAATCCAGATGAGATCACCTCGGTTGTCTTTCTCAATGCATGTTGTCATTCAGGTCTTGTGCAAGAAGGAATTGGCTATTTTAACTGCATGACCCATGATGGTGGTATTGTTCCAAACCAAGAGCACTATGCATGCTTGATTGATCTTTTGGGCTGTGCTGGACGTTTTGATGAGGTGTTGGATCTGCTTGAGAACATGCCTTGCAAACCCGATGGCAGAGTTTGGAATGCACTACTTGGTGTTTGTAGGATTCATGGAAATATAGATTTGGGAAGGCAAGCAGCAGAGTTGGAG